AGAGAGAGAGAGAGAGAGAGAGAGAGAGAGAGAGAGAGACCTCCAGCATGCAGCATGTCAGTGGCGGCGAGCACAAGGGCAGGCGCCGACCTCCAACAAAACGAAGAAGTAATTTTATCGGAATACAAGATTTTTTTCTTTTCGAAATCCGAATAGAAAGGGTACAGGTTGTATTCGAATACAACGTGTACGTTTTCTATTCAAGGAACTCTGCTCTTCGAGAAAAGTGGACCCGCACCGTTTCAATTTCGAAAAAGGACTGCGGCCTCCTCGGCCTCCTACGCGCAGATACCGGTCCTACGCGGTCCTGGCCCTTCCAAGGCCCCAAAACCTCAAAATGCCCACCCTCCCGACGACCACCTACGTTGAAAGTTGATTGACGTTGAAATGTCTCAGGGGGGAAAACGCAACCCTGATGGGCTGCGAACACAGAAGCCGAGGCACACTATACCGCAGCCTTAGGGCTGCGATTATGCCCCTGGACTGGAATTTCCATTTCCTTGCCGGGTGCCCCTCTGACAGCCAAGTTACCTTCTGACAACGATTTGAAAAACCCCTGGTGTCATTTGGGCCTGAAATATGTTCAATATGCCCCTACTGTACCCGTGCCAAATTTCCAGCATGCCACCGTATCTCCCCTCCAGGGCCAGGAGTGCCACCAACGGCCACAGGGGCATGCTGGAATGTTACACCCCTCAGTGACAGGGGCCTGCAGGAAAGTTCAGAGGCCCCAGGGGCAGGACAGAGTAAGTTGGCGGTTAGAGGGGCAGCCCGCAAATAAATCAAACTGGGGCAGGCATATCGAACATTACCCCTAGTTATTTACTGCGTATATACATATATATCGTGTACATATATATATGTACATATATCATATAGATATATAGATATCGTCATATATATATGAATATGTAATACAATGTATACATTTATATGTACCCTCGATAACAGCAATACGTGCATCATATATATATGAACATAACGTAATATATAAGGCGATTTTCGCAACCGAGGGTATTTCCCCGACGCGCTCTTCAATCTCTTTTTGCGTCTTGTCGTGCGCGGGATCAACGCCTCCATCGCGCGCGCTCGATCAACGCTTTCATCCCGCGCTCTCGATTGGTGTTTTCACTTTCACTGCGGCCGCGCCCGCTCGATCAGCGCTTTCACTGCGCGCGCGCGCGGGGGATCACCGCGCCCGCTCTCCGCGATCATGGTTCTGTGTTCCCGCTCTGTGTCGGCATAGCCTGGATGATCGTGCGGGTATTTGGTCGCGATTCCGGCTTCATTCAGGCAGCTTTCCATGTGCCTGAATAGTTGTCGGCATAGCCTGGATGATCGTGCGGGTATTTGGTCGCGATTCCGGCTTCATTCAGGCAGCTTTCCATGTGCCTGAATAGTCAAAGAGCAGGCGTAGGTAGCCTTGGATGATCTTGAGTGTATTTGGTCGCGATTCCCGCTTCATTCAGGCAGCCTTAACAGTGTCGTCGCCAGAATATGCCCGCGCAGAGGCAAGCTTGTTAATCGAGGTGAATGACGTGGACATCCCTTTTTTTTTTTTTTTTTTTTTTGGTAACCAATATACAGCTTTAGCTCTAGCCCGCCAAAAACAGAAATGAAAAAAAATTAAAAAGAGTTCAAAAACGTTTTCAACAAAAGCTCCGCGCCAAAAACGCCCTTTCGAAGCTGTCTTGGCCAATGGAAACTAACTGGTAGTGATCTTTTTTTTTTTTTTTTTTTTTTTTTTACAAGATTCTTTTTTCGATGGAGGGTGTCCCTTCTCTCTCACCCTCCATCGCTCTCGGCGTTCTATTCTCCACCTCCACCATCTCCTCTTCCCCCTCCATTCGGCCAAGGAGGTGGTGGTCCCACTTATTGTCCAGATTGATCATTTCATTTTTTCGTATTCGATCTGCTTTAATCACAGAAAGATCAACGGCTGAGATTTAAGAATCAGTGGGCGAATGAGACTGGGACACTTTGTCTGCGTTGCTCTTTTTTTCGTTTTTTGTTTTCTTTTTATTGAAATTTTATTGAATTTTTATTGTATTTTTTTTGTAGTTTTACAATGCGCGCTCCTCATCCTTGCATCGGTTCTGTATTGACCTCGAATGCGACTGCTCGGGCCTCGATCCTCCGACCTGTGTTTACCTGTCGTTTCTCCGTTCTCCTTCATCTCCGCGGTTAACTCTTTCGTTCTCTTCTTGGCATTCTACCGCTCTCCATAGCTGGATTCCCATAGCTAACTCCATAGCCAACTCAATAGCCAACTCAATAGCTAACGCCATAGCTAACTCCATACCTGACTCAATAGCTAACTCCATAGCTAATTCCATAGCCAACTCAATAGCTAACTCCATAGCTAAGTCCATAGCTAACTCCAAACTCCATAGCTAACTCCATAGCTAACTCCATAGCTAACTCAATAGCTAACTCCATAGCTATAACTGAATAGCTGAATGCTTATCGCTACTCAATAGCTAACTCAATAGCTGAATGC